CCCCCCCCCCCCCCGGGTGTTGGTCCCCACCCGGGCCCCCCCCCCACGGGGGGGGGGGGGGGGGGGTGGGGGGGGGGGGAGGCAGGTTGCAGGGTCAGATGAGTAATGACGTAGCTTTACACACAGCATAACATTGGAAAGCGACAGTGCTGTATGAAGACTCAATTCGAATGTGGCAAAAGCACAAAGATCATGGCCAGTCCCGGCAGGGAGGGAAGGGGGTCTGATGGAGGGGATTGAGTTCTTGCTGTTGAAAGAAACTTGGAAGCAAATGTGGCAAAATAGCAACGCTTATTACACCTCAGTGGCGTGCACCGTGTTCTTTGAAACGTTTTGTGATAAAGAAGTCTCGGCACTGAGGGGATTCAGAGAGCCGGTCAGGCATCCACTTGATCTGCTTTTGGACCAAGAAAGGCTGTAAAACGGTAGGCTGAGAAGCAAAAGTCTCACAAGTGGCTGACTTGAACCGAAACGTTCCTCCTGATGGGTAGGGTGCAAGTGGTTACCTTGGAGGGTTGGCTTCCAGCTGGGTTTTACTTTTGCTGTAGAGCTGCGGATTTCGAGTTGTTTGGACAGTGGCGTTGCACTTGGGAGTGGCCCGCGGGGCACTGGAGGGTCCAGGACACTGCCTCCAATCGAATCTAGAAGCGTGCTGTAGGTGGGAGCCGCAGGGGCCGCCCCCACCTGCCTGTTTCCCACACACGTGCCCCGGGGGACGCCTGTAAGCTCACGCTCCGCGTCTGTATTTACTGAGCACCTGCCACGTGTCCGATGCTGTTGCTGTGCTGGGAGAGACCTTGGGACATGCTGCTGTTCCTGCGGGGGAGGGACAGAGGCGATCGGGTGGCACTGGGAAGAAAACCCCAGCAGGGCGAGGGGACAGAGTACTGCCACCGTCCTAGACTGACTCGGGGAGGGCTTGTTGGAGGAGGTGACATCTGACAGGAGGGGATGCGGGGGGGCGCTGTGAGAGGACCCCTCCGGCTGCCAGGATGCCAGTGAGGAGAGGGCGGGTGCCTGGTGGGGGTGACGCGCCAGGCTCCGCTGGCCCCCAGCTCCCGCGAGGAACCTTTGCACTTTACTCTGAGTGGTTGACGCTCAGCATTCTGCGCGGCCTGGAGGGC